AAAAAATAGTAATTGCATTAAGAAAGGGACATGCGCAGCAAACTTTTTTTTTTAAAAAAATAAAAAAATTATAAAAGTGACAATGCGATAAAAATAACGTACAACATACCTGAGTCTCGATAAATGATATCCTCCTCAGACATGTCCGACATTGGTTCAATCTTACGCTTTTTATGCTTTTGAGACGACGTCTTGACTGTTTTACGTTCAAAGTACTATACAAAATCTTCTTTCAGGTAGAACTTCCCACTTCTATGCAGGATAATTTTAAGCACTCTCGAAGCTATTAAAGAGAGAATTTTTGGAATCAAGTTAAAGCTCGATATTTTCAAATAACTTCAAAAAGAAAAAAAAAGTAACTTTGCTTTATCTTTTTTTTTTATTGCACAAGGGTTTTGAGCCTGTCCTTTTATATAAAGGAGATCTCTCGGGGTACTGTTACAGATCACATGACGGATGCATAACAAGTCAAATAATCCGTTGTCAAACGTTTGTTATATCTGTATATCTGTAATCTGTTTCTAAATGGGATGACTTAATAATTGTTTCATTTAAAAACATTCGAGTTTGAATTTTTAGTTCACGTGACGCACTTGAATTGAAACGATTTGCTTTTGTTGGATTTTTTTTTTTTAAATCTTTGATAAATTTTTTTAAACTTTTTTATTTTTTTTTTAAAAAAAAAAAAAAATCATGCTTTATAAATTTATTATTATTAACTACCAAAAAAAAAAAAAAAAATTATTCACGGGAAAAATTGACAGAACACTGTTTACAATATTAACGTCCGGACTATCGTCATCTTGGGTTAATGTTGGCAGGAGCTAAATGAGAATGATGAATCAATTTGATGAATAACTATAATAAAAACAAAGAATAACAAAGAGATATTTATTTAATTGATATATTACCTTTCCATTCCCAGTATCCCGCTTCAAACCCACTGTAACGGATGTTACCGGCGCGGACGTACGGGTATGCTCGAACCCTTGCGTCAAGCAGTTGGAAAAGCTTTTGACGTTCCATGGGGTCCGTCACGTGTGCGAAAGCTTCTTCGCGAAATTCAAGACAAATTATTTGTTTTTTTTCGCTTAATCTCATTAGTGCTAAATTAAAAGCGTCGTTTACTTGATTACGTTCCCACATCCATCGTCGGACAGACAAGAAGAGAAATAAAATTGCGGATATCGTTGATACAACAATCAACGAGTAAAATGGATTGTCAAAAACGTTATTGAAGAGGTTGACGACGGCATTAGATAATTGACAGTAAATTCCATAAGTTGGCTTTTTGGAGTATATGGAAGTTATTACAGTACCGTTATGATCTTTCTTTATAAAGTAAATATCATCATCGTGTTCAATATTTTTGTACACATCTTCGCTATATTTAGCGTAGTCTTGTGATGGCATTTTTTCTTTAAGTCGAAGTTTGAGATTTTCATATATCAGATTGTCTTTGTCATATCCACATTCGAATCTCCCCGTTTCGTGAGCAACAATTTCTTTGAATTCTTTAGTGTATTTCTTTGCATTTGCCATCTGATCTTTATCAATCACACAATAAGGTTTATTGAGCCTAAAATATGATGTTTCCAATTTGAAGCCTCTTTCACACTCTGTGATAACGCCTTTTGAACAAATTGATCCCTTGGGACATGGTGTGCATGTCTGGTCATTTATGAGCTGAGATGATGTTGAATCGTTTTCACCTTCCTGATGAGAGGATGTCGCACTATCGCAGTATTCATTGTTTTTAAAACCGAAATACAAGATGCCGCCGGATATGATTAAAAAAAAAATGATCTTTGAACGAAATGAGAATCTTGGTTTTCGTTTAATAAACTCTGGAGGTGGTCTGCGATCGATAGGTTGTTTAAAAGATCGAGGTTTATGGCAATATGCAATTGCTTCACGTCGTTCAATTCTGTCCTTTTTGGGTGATGTACTATTTTCAGTTCCTCCTCGAGATGGATATTGAGAATCTCCTTGAGTAGGATATAGAGATACTTCATCAAGTTCAGTTGACTGTCGTAATTCTTGTTCCTTGCGCTTTACTACCTCCAGTTCTTCTGGTTCTAGAAAAGGATATGCGGGAGTTCTAGAATATGGAGGCATCATAGGGTAAAATGGCGCAGGAGACGTTGGAGCTCTTAAAGTACGTGGTGGGGAAACATTTTCTGAATAATTTTGATTCAATAAACTTTGCCTTGTACTTTCTACCGTTGTAGTCTGTTGTGTTTCGACAGCTATTTCACCTTGAACATGTTGCTCGATTACCTCTCTTCGTTTTTTGCTACTTGCACGTCCAGACTTCTGCCTTTTTTGATGTGGCGTTTTAATTTGTGTAGTTGAAACAGAAGGCACGATCTCTTCTTCAGTGTGTCTTTGTTCGTTGTCAACTGTTCGTGCTCTAGACTCTTTGTCAGTTTTTCGTTCTTGTTGTCCTCCTGTTCTCCTTTGTAATTCGACAATAGGAAGAACATGATCTTGAAATTTCTGGATGAATTCAGCCTTTCTTGAAATATCTCTATAAGGAATATCATTAGCGTTTAAAATCTCTTTAAGACGTTTTACAGTGACCTTAGAAGGGTCAAAATCTTCTGCAAAATAATCTTGATTACTCATGTTGACAAAATTATTTAAATTTCAAATTGTTTTGATTGATATCCGGTACGAAAGAATATTTATAATGGATTAATAATTTTTGCTAATAGTTTGAAAATTTAAGTTTGTGAGTAAAAGAAAAATAGTAAAAATGCAAATTTGACAAAAAGTTATTGATTCATTTCATAAAATTGTTATAGTGATTATTTTTCGCGATATTTTTTAATGTTGTTATGCACGTGACAATGCAGATCAGTGGCTTAGATTATATACATTAAGCTATAAAAACGCGTGTTAATTATCAATTATACATCCAATGATTTACCTAATGTAGATCAAAATCCGAACGAAGTTAACGTAACAATTGATTTTTTTCCCGTGTAACGTTATTTTTTATCATTACATTCAGGAATCTTTAATCTTTATTACAGTTGTATTTTCAATGTGAGTTATATTGTTACTTCTTTGTGATTAGCTAATCCCGGTTTAAATCTTACTATCTATTAATAACTTGTTACTGGCTGTATATTAGGACCAAAAAAAACTCACAAGCAGGAAGTCGATCCCGTTCTCGGAGTCGTTCTCCACGCTCGGTGTCAGGCACGCGCTCTAGAAGTCGCTCTTACTCTTCTTATTCTTCAAGAAGCCGTTCACGATCTTACTCTAGAAGTAGATCACGTTCTTTATCATATTCACGTAGTCGTTCTCGCTCACCTTATTCACGTAGAAGGCGTTCTTTGTCCCCACTTCCTACAAAGATTTTGGTTAATAAATTGACAAAAAATGTTACGGATGCACATTTGAACGAAATATTTGGAGCGTTTGGACGAATTCATCGTGTAGAAATGGCTCTTGATGATAAATGCAAGTTTTTTTCATATCTTATTTACTTTAGTTGATTTTTTTAATCTAAATTCCTTTATTTTTTTTATTATTTCTTAGGGCAATCGAATAAAGGAACAGCTTTTATCGATTACGAAACTAGGGCTGAAGCAGAACGAGCGATTAGTTATATGGATGGAGTATGTATGGACTTTATCAAGTATAAAAAAAATTTATTAAATAAATGCATTAACTTAAAAATTGTATAAAGGGTCAACTTGATGGTTCAGAATTATCTTGTACATTTGTGCCTCGTCGTCCGATTTCTCCATTACCGCCCAGACGCAGAGGTATAGTAAACTTACTAGGTTTATTTAAAATTAATCCTGAATTATTAAATAAATTACCCTACCTTAGGTGGAAGATTCAACTCTCCTCCTCAGCGTCGTTTTGCGGCGAGTAGCTATCGTGCTCGCGGTAGATCTCCATTGCGTCGCTATTCAAGATCACGATCAAGATCGCCACCAATACGTCGAAGACGTTCTTATTCATATAGTTCTTATAGTTCGCGGAGTAGATCAAGATCACCTTATTCCAGAAGTCGTAGTAGAAGTTATTCACCAAGAAGTCGATCAAGAAGCCGCAGTCGAAGCAGAAGTCGTAGTCGTTATTGAGATATCTATGGCTCAGACATTTATCTTCTCTTTTCTCTTTTTCATTTTTTTTTTCAATTATATGATCTTACCTTTTACCTTTTTATTTTTTTTGGTTACGCTGAAAATTTTCGAGGTTTTATAACCTTTTTTCCTGTTATAACATGTATACTTACTAATGCTTGTTTCTAGGAAAGTCTTTTGAATTTACCGTGTATACGAAAACTGTAGAATCGATGATAGATCTTGTGCAAATGGTTACTTTTTCCCACATTTTATCAGAACTTTGCATTTTAACTTTTTTTTTTTAAAAAAAAAAGAAAAAAAAAAAAAAAAATATACATATTAAAGATTTTTTTAATCTTCCAGAGGTTACTTTAAACAAATTTCCGATTTTTTTTTTGCTTCCTTTCCTTTTTTTTTTTTTTTTACAAAAAAAAAAAAAAAAAAAAAATTTAAGAACCCTTAAGTTTGATTTAATAAAGAAGTAAGTATTGTTTTTTTTTTTTTTTTGATGTCAATTTTAAAATGATTTCTATATTAGAAATAAAAAGAAATAATATATTTTTAAATACAGGAATTTAATAAATTTAATACAAGCAACGTTTATTTATGTGTGTATTTAAAATATTATCTGAGCACTTTCTTGTTAAATTGTCATATTTAATATCCTGATTTGTGACTTTATTATGATATTTTCATCAAATTCAATTAATTCATTTAGATGATTAATAAATTTAACTGTACTTTTCTACTTTAAAAAAAAGCAATTATGCTGGTTTGCATAATAGTTTATAAAAAATAAAATTTCTAAATTTCTAAATGATTGCGAAATACAAGATCATCATCTATTTTAAATTGGTATTTTAGTATTATCGTTACTATATTAATCTATTACTATTTATTTATCTTTGTCAAAATAAAAATTTAAAAGCTTCAGATGAATTATTTTTTTTTTTTTAAAAAAATATAAGTATTGTCTATGAAAATTAAAGTTCATCAACTATCAAAGGACCCCCGATCTCTGTCATATTAATAGTTAAAGGATCATAATCATAAACACCACCTTCCTTATCAAATTTCTCTTCCACATAAGCACTTTCCATTCTGAAAAAAATCCATAACCAACGTCGTATAACTTCGAAAATTTCCATTAAAAATACACTAGCTTGTAATTTATGTATAATATGTAAATGAGATGATAATTTTAATGACCATGTAAATCTAAGTAAAAAGTTTACGAATATTGCTATGTAATATATAACGCGTTCATTAAAATGCAAAGGCAGACGCGTTCGAAGTTTAAAACTAGGCATAAAAGCACCTGGAATCGTTGGTGAAAAGAAATCTAATTTCCAATCCATTACAACATCCCAATAAAAAGAATACATAGAATTAAAAGCTACCGAGATTACCCTAATAGATAAAAAAAAAAAAAAAAATTATAATTAAAAAAAAAAGAATTAAAAGCAAGAATGAATGAAAAATGAAAAAATAAAAAAAAATCATTATACCATAATTTAAATAAGATGGGAGGTGCAATCCAGATAACTGACGGATGAGTTAGTGACTCGAATTTATACCATTTTTGTAATGCTGACAATAATATAACAGGAAATGCCGAACAGTATTTAAAAGCATTAAATAAATGACGTCTATTACTATATTTGGAACGAATGTATTCCGTCATACACTGCCTAAACCTAATAGCGTATGGAAAGCTTAAAGGCAAACATCCGAGTAAAAAATCACTAATTTGTAAATTAGATATCGAAGAGTAAGGTAATACTAATTTACCTGGTAAATAAAGGAGCTATTATATAACTCCAACATCTATTTCCTGAATAGCCTTCTTGATCAACATCGTAAAATAATAAAATACATCCCGTGACATATAAATCACCAAATACTTTTGCAAAACTAGTTAAAATATCGGCCATTATTACGTCCGCGGGTAATACTTCACTACCAAAACCAGAAAATATTACTCTTCGAATACACCTTCATTCAAGGAAAAAATTAATTAATATATATATATTATAAAATAAAATACACGAAAGATGGGAGCATATATACTAACCTCAAAAAATTTGCTCTTTCTTTCCTTTTAAGAACGTTGAAAGGACATAATATAATTACAAAAACAACAGCATAACAAGCTAAGGGAATTGACGTCCATTCTGTAATTTTTGCTTCAATACCACCAGTTACTTTCCAAAAGATCACTAAATTCAACCAAATTAAAAACGTAAGGATAGAGGCTAATGTATAAACATCTTTAAAAGAAGTTTGAGAAGTTCTATTTTTATCATGAGAGGAACTCAAGAGCAGTGGAACGTTTATAGAAGTCCACGAAAGTATTTGTAAATTAGATCCCCATGCCCAAAGTCCTATTACAGAGATAACAATTACACGATAAGGTAAAGGAAAAGTATTAGATAAACTCCACTCTACGGTGGACATTTTTGGTTTTTTCTTTTATTATTTCTTTATGTTGACTTTTGGTTGTTTTGTCATAGTGTGCGTTTGGATTGAAAGGTATGTTGTATGTGTGAAGTGTTAATGTAGAAAGCTACTCATTATTATCGTTCTAAAAATATCTCGAGTTTAATTAAACTATTTCTATAAAAGTATTTGTGGTGGCACAAAAAAATATATATCACAACCCGTGCAATAGAACCAATAGAAAATCATTTCTTTTTTTTTTTTTTTTCTAAATTAAATCGTTTTAAATTGACTGGACCAGTTTAATAATCAAATATTAAAAATTTTAAACGTAGTCAAGTCAACCCTTTTTTCTTTTTCTTTATCTTTTTTTTTTCCTTTCTTGTTTTTTTTTAAAAAAAAAAAAAAAAGAAAAAAAAAAAAAAATAATAGTAACTATATTATTTGAAATTGGTTACTTTTACAAGTATAACTGTACAACGTAATTATTGTTAAAAATAAAAATAATAATCATGTAATAATTAAAATAAAATCTGGTCATAATTTCAATATTGTCTTTTATGGTAATTAAATTAATCATCTTCGGAATCCGTTAGGTCGTCATTTAATTGTGTTAAACCTAAACTTTCTTCATCGAATGCATGAAATAAAGTCGCATCTCTCGTTCTCATTAAAGAATCGCGTCTTTCTCCTGATACAGATGATCTTAAGATCCCAGTTCCGGTTTGCATTGGCTTATCCATCAATCCACGTCCATCATTCTTTGCCGTATTTAATAAATATACTCCAGAAAATATTGTAAGGAATCCACAAAATAAACTAACAACATTTACCATGGACGTTGTATTAAATCCTTGAAAGAGAAGAACTGATGCGAAAATCGTTGATGTTGTAAAAAACACATAGTATATAGGATTTACTCTGACGAGGAAAAAAAAAAAAAAAAAAAAAAAAAAAATGAAAAATTAAATTTGTTGAGAGATATATAAAAAAGATCATTAATTAATTCGACTTACATATTAGTTTCAAATTGATCCAAAGCTTTGTTAAAATAATTCATTTGTATTAATATGCAAAGTGTAGATATGATAATAAAGACGTATGTTGATGGATGTGTTAACTGATTATTGCCCGCAAAGGTGAGCTTTAGCGCAATTCCAAATCCTTTACAAGACATCACTGATATTGAACCAACCAATGAACAAATTGAAAGGTACACCAAAGGATCTTTTCTGCCATATTTTGGTACAATTTGATATATAGCAAAAACTGTATAACAACCAACCGTTAGAATATAAAATAAAAATCCTATAGTGATTAAATAAAAAACTCAATTAAGTAATTTATGTTTTAAAAAAAAAAAAATCATGGTATCTGACCAAATTTTAACTGACCTACCAGGTTTAAGGGCAAATTGTAGAATTTCATCAACTGTTTTAATTTCTTTATCTGCAGGTGAGTGAAGTACAATCATAATGGATCCAATTAAACATAGCCCACAACCAACGGTTCCTAACCGCCCAAGACTTTCTTTAAGAAATAATGATGCCAAAACAGCTCTAAAAATAGAAAAAATATATATTTATATCACTTAACCTATAGTCACCAAATGTGCGAAAATATTTTCTTGCACGTACCCAATTAAAACACTAAGAGCTCCAAGAGGCGTTACAAGTATAGCAGGTGCAAAGGAATAAGCCGCAAAATTTAACAATTCTCCAAAAACCACTACAAAACGAAAATTATTTATTCAATTTAAGATTTATCACCTTTGATACATTTTTCTCTATGGTGGATTTTAACCTACTTGTTGTCATTCCTATCCACCAAATTGGATTTTTTAAATAACTATGGTCATCGCCAGCGAATCCTAAAAGTAAGAATTATTTCAATATGTTTAGAATATAAAAAAAACTCCCAGGCTAATCAACATAATCTTTCAATATTACCATGTCTGTCATTTGCGTCTATTAGTCCCTTTTTCGTTATAATAAAAGACGTGCCAATCAACAGACTGGAAGCGACGGCCAAAGTCAATCCAATATATCTATCGTCTATGCCCATTCGTTGATTCTTATATTTAAAGTTTTAAGTTTATTTAAATGACACAAAGATAAATAATAATAATAATAATAATAATAGTAAACAGAAGTGTCTTTTTAAAACTCGACTTCTTTTTATTTATTATTTGAAATGTCACCAGGACTGCAAAAATTAAATGGTAAAAAAAAAAAAAAGGCAATTTGAGAAAATAAATAGATCTAGTAAGGCGATGTAAAAGAATGTCAAAATATATTTCCCGTTAGATTAGGAAAAATATGGTTATAAGATAAATAAAGCTCCAGGAAAGATAATTGATCGTTATAAACTTAAAGGAAGAAGACTCTTCCTAAAACTTTTTAGCGGATTCTGAAGAGAAAATGTAGTATCATTTACTACTTTATTTTCTTTTCCTACTTATAATTTTTTTTGAGGTAAGACCGAAAACATATAGTACAATATCAAATTTGTCAATTTTGGAAATTCTATCATGGTTGAAACAAGTTTCAAACAAGTTTGCAATTATTGCGATTTGTTGATCTGGGCATGATCTTATGAATGTCGATCAATTTTTCATGTTAATTCCTGTTCATTTTACTTATTTTATATCAAGAATCGAGAGATTTTTTTTTACTATGAAGTTCCTGTTTGAAAATTTTTTTTATTATGACTAATATTTATACCGTATATATATTTATTGTTTTATGATTCAATTCTTAATAATATATTAAGTAATTCACGCAGAATGTGTTCGCACAATTTCCTCCACAAATTTTATATAATTTTATTAAAAATAATTTATTTGAAGTAAGTTGCTATCCATGAGTAATTAATTAATTTTTTTTTTTTCTTTTATTAATTAAATGTTTGTCAATCTTTTTTTTTTTTCTTGCTTAACTTTAATTATTGATTTTTAAAAGCCGATCTGTATATTTCGCAAGATAGACTAAAATTTAATTCTTTTAGAACTTGGAGTTGTAAACTTAAAAAATTTTTATCTGAAAGAAATATCTGTCAAATAATATTAAAAATTTAATATTATTTAATAATTCATAATTAAATACTATTTAAAAAAAAAAAAAGATTTGAAATGTCAACAAAAATACTTAAACGTAGAAGAGGTGACAAATGGATATGCAAATACTGTACCGCTCCGAAATTAGACAATCATGGGTAAATGCAATTAATTAATCACGCGTAGGGATGATAACGGTTCGACCAGTTCTGTTTCGGTCCGATTTTTATCGGTTTGTGGGTAAAATCGAACTGTAGACCGATTTGTAGACCGATTTGAAACTGGAGTCTATACCGAAATTTAGACCAGAGTTTTATATTGTATAAAATCTTAAAAAAAATTCGTAGGATTGTGCAACACAAAGTGCAATGCGTGCGTGTTAATTTCAACATTCCCAATCCAAAAATTTTATAATATCATAATAAAAAATAAACCAAAAAAAAAAAAATCAAATTATACAAAAAAATTTTTTTTTGCGATCTATCTATTATCCTGAAACTTTATTCCCATCAAGTTTTGACCTGAAATAATTTCGCCTTATTATGCATCCCCACAATTTTAATATTAATTATAAATTTTCTACTATCCTTTTCTCCGAAATCCAATGCTTCATACAAATAATTGTCTTTGCTGTTTCAGGATTTAACCTTTTTCTAACTTTTGAGATAGTTAAGCTTGAAATTGAAAAGGCTCTTTCTGATGGAATCGAAGTCGCTTGGATTGTTAAATAATACTTGGCGACAATATCGAATAATTGTTTTCATGAATTTTCCACCAAATTAAAGGATTGGCACTAATACCTGCCAGAGAATTTAGATATTTATCTAATTCATCACATGACATACTTTTATAATTATTTTGATTAAGCAAATTAAGAAAATAATCTCAAGGCGATAACTTTTTTTTTGATATTTGTTTGATTATTTAAGGAGAATATGTTATATGGGCAGACTGCAACAAAACCAGACAAAGTGAACATTTGATTATGTAACATAAATGAGAGGCTGATTATGATGTGACTGTAAAATTGACCTGACTGATGATCTTTTGAAAAATAATAATGGTGCTCATTCATAACTTATGGACTTGTTAATTTTAATGTTCACTTTATTATACCAGAATGTGATGAATATAAACTATAATATGATTAATATAGGATTATGTGTATATAAAACTATAAATATGAAACTAATTTACATTAAATCCATTATGGAATCCAAGGATTACAGCACTATTAGAAGCATTCTAAAAAAAGCTCAAGGAGAAAAAATTGCTTCATACATTTTTAAAATCAAGATACCCAAACTCTTCAGGAATATTTAGATAAAGAAAAGTTCACATATGAAATTTATCAAGAAAAATGAAAAATAATAAACTATAAACAAATCTTAACACTAACACATTATCACCAAGTTCATTTTTGATTATTTTAACATCTAAGTTAAAAGGCTATGGCAGTTAATTCTAGAGTTCTAAATGAGTCGAGTTGAGTTGAGTTTAAAGACCAACTCTATTCAACTCATTTTTTTCGAATTGAATCGAGTCAAATTTATTTTATAAAATCTTTTAATTTGATTTAATTCGAGTTATATAAATTTTAAACTCAACTCAATTTGACTTGACTCAATTTTAACTTGATTCAATTTTGAAAAAAAAATAATAAAAAAAAAATAAAAAGAACGATTCAGATCATCGTTCTTCTTAAATGATTTTTTTATCGTTCAAGTCAACTTGAGTCAACTCAAATCAAGTCGAGTTTAAATTGAATCGAGTTAAATATTTAACTCAACTTACAAATCATCAAGTCAAAAAAACATAAACTCAACTTGATTTGAACTCAACTCGGCTTATCTGATTCGTAAGTTAACTCGACTCATTCAGAACTCTAGTTGATTCTACATGTTGAAGTTTTCAATTTTAGGATTTTCTCTAAGTCCTACAGGGTTAGAAAATTTGTATGTACTAAGTAAATTTTGATCCTGTACTTGTACTGTACAGTACTAATTTTATATTAATTATTATGTATACTAACTGCACTAAACTGTACTAAGTTGTACTAACTGTACTAATTTTTCAACCTTGCCTACAGGCATCCGTTATACTTGAATCAACTTAGCAATTTATCATGTCTTAGAATTTAAGATATATTAGTCAAACTCATAATGATGAATTTAATAATAAATTAGTGTAGGGTATTACAACAAACCCTAGATGAAGAACAACGTTAAAGGAAAAAGTAAATTTGTATAGATTTAAATTGATTCCTTTATTTATAACTTGAAACTTGCAGAAGAGTTTAAAAACTTATAACTAAGTTAATAAACTTGCAGAAAAGTTAATTTATAACTTAAGCAAAAAGTTATTCTATTTATACAAAATGAATTTGCTACAGCTAACTATTTGCTACGCTATAAACTAACTATTTTAGTAAACTTCGCTTGTAAAATAATAATAAAAGATAATAAAATAAAGATATAAAATAGAAGATAAAATATAATAATAATAAAAATAAAAGAAATAATAAAAATAATAATTATAACAAAAACAATAAATGTGTAAAGAATTTAATAAAATAAGCCAATCAAATAAATCAGTTTAATTAGGTAAATTTTGTAAATCAAATTAAATAAATCAGCCTAATTTTCTAATGCAGTATGTCGATCAAGATCTTCCTAAATATGATCTACATAAAATTAAGTCCAATGACTTTGTAAATCATTTTTCTAAACCAAATTTTCAACGCTGATAACATAATAAACTAAGAAAAAAATGAAAATTAGAAAATTAAATAGTATCAATTCTATAAAAATAATTATTATAAATAAATACAATAATAGTATAACAATATGATTATCAGAAAAAAAAACAGAAGGATTATCAAATATATTTAAAAAGTAAAAAGGAAAAAAGCTAAGAATTAATTGATAAATTAAATAAATATTGTTTTAAAAAATAGCATCAGAAAAATTCAGGTTCAACTTTTAAAAATACTAAGCCTTTAGAAATGTTAGTTAGATTTCAATGATATAAACAAAACAAATTATAATCAACTCTCTCTAAATACATTTTCTTAAAACTATAGTGAAAATTTTAAAAGTATACATTTAAAGAGAATATGCATTTAAAGAAAAAATTTCTATATAAATTATATATGCTTAGAACTGAATAAGAGTATGCATTTAAAGAGAAAATATATAGTATATGCATTTAGAGAGGGTTAACTATATCATAAGAATTAAATTTATTAATTAAAAAGCTTGCTTTTAAAGAAACAGATAAAACTTTCTCCTACATCTTAGAAATTGATGATAAAGAGAAAAAATGCTTTAAAATGAGCCTTTCTAGATTAAAAAAAAATAGACAATATTATTAATATTAATAAAGAGTTAAAAAAATTAGAAAAATCAAAAATAAAAAATCACAGCTACTACATAAATTTTATTCATTATTGTGAAAATGGAAAAAATTATAGGAAAGAATAATAAGTTCTGAAAAAGATTAATAAAAAACCTTAAGAAATAATGAAAACAAATTTGTGAAAACAAGATATTTTGAAAAGTATTTAAAGTCTAAAACAAAATTATAAATTCTTAGAAGATGCTTTAGAGGTTTTTTTTTGAATTAGATTGAGTTAAGAAAATTTTACAATGATAATCTAGGCAACTATATGAATTTGAACTCTTATCTGATAAGATTATTAATAGATCTCATTTTTGTCAATTTCAACTTCAGCTTTAACAGAATGTTATCATAAACTATGATGAGTTTATTTAACAGACAAACTATAAATCATTAATTGAATATGAAAGAAAAAGTATAAATACTTAAAAAATATTTTTTGAATTCAAGAATATATAAATTATAAATAAGAAAAAAAAAAATATTTAATCATAATATTCAAAAAGCCTTAAATAATAAAATTTCAGATCTTCAAGAATTATGAGAAAAAATCCAAAAGAAAAAAGAGATCTAAGAATATTTGACTAAAGAAATTAAAAAATATCAAAAA